ATAAAACCAGGGGTTTGTAAACTTTTTCAAAAGCTTGACAAAGGGAAATGGATTAGGTAGGAGGCAGATGCTGTTTTACTTTTCTCCTTCATTTTCAAGCCTGAAGAGTACATGTGATAGCTACAGCTACATTAGCAATTTCACAATAAGTTACTTATAACTTGAAGGAGCCTGGAACATTGATTATATTGAAGCCATCATGCCAGCCTTAGATTGCCTACCTTTAGAATTTTCGTACATTACACCATTTTCTGTTTCTAGCAGCCAAACTCCATTCTTAACTCAATGTTTCCTCAACTTTCCCCACTGTGGCACACATAGTAAACGAAAAAACATACTCTGGATGAAGCTGCTTGTCTGGAGGAAAGGGACTAGGGCACCAGCTGCCACAGGTCCCACCCTAGAGGACACTAGGACACAAATGACCAATACTTCGGCATCCTAAAACCCATCAGGAGTTTCTGACCTAATGAATACAAGGAGGAAGAGGGACTGACACAAAATAAACAGAATAACCAATTTAGAAAGAATCATATGGAAATCTGGGGAAGTGCAATATTACAAAAGGAAGAGAGGTGAGTTCAGAGAATGAATAAATAGCAGAGCTTCTAAAATGCTAGGAAGAGCGGAGAGACGACCTTAGGAATGCAGATGATCACTAGTATGAGAAATGTTTCAGTCAAATGGTAGCACTAGAAATCTGACAGCAAGACATTAGATGATACTGGACAGGTAAAAAGAGACTGAAAACAGCAATAGCAAGAAGTGAAGAAAAGGGGAGAGGTCAGTAGCTCAAAGGGGTAGCAACGATGAGGAAAATATTTTCACTATAAGGAAGTATTGAAGAGGGAAAGAGCTTAAACAGAAGAGGAAAGCATGAAGATGAAGAAAAAAGTAGATAAAATTCAAGGTGTCAAGTCAAACAATCTTTGGAATAAGAGAAAAAGGAAGTAACAGCATAAGAAAAACACACTTTAATAAAGAGGAGGGAAGTTAGAGGACTTAGGTGGATGGCTTTGATCTTAGTTATTTAAGAGCACAAGGAGAGAATGAATTGGACTGATGAAATCGTGAGAATGAAGTAAGTACTGTGGAATGCAAATGTAATAGAGAGATGAAGGGATTGCCAAGCAGCACTGCAAACTCATTTTATGTCAGCCAGCATAAACTTGCATCAAAAACAGCTCAGTTTTGTGAATTCTTTCATTTGTCAGTCTAGGATCAGGGGCTGAAAAATGGGAGGTGGAGATTTCCTGAATTTGAGACTGGCAAGAGAAGCAGATTAATTTTCTGTTCTAGATAAACAAGTGTATAATAAAATTTCATCAATGGTATTAATATTTTTCAGTCTTCACTCTTGTGATTGGCATATGAAACCATTCATTTTCAAGATGCCATAGTCAACTAGTATTGGATCCATGCTGATTTCAAGGTTTAAAGCCGTAGATTATAATAGCTTACAAGCCTGGATATGTCCTTATTGATCATCCAATTCAACTATACTTAAGATATGAGGTAACTAAGGTCCAAAGAAGTTAAGAACTTGTCCAAGGTCACAACAGTAGTGGCAGAAACATAGAGGTCTCCTGATTTTCACTCCAGGGCTCTTTCCAGTATATCACAAATTTGTCTAGAAAGCACATTTGCCAAAGTCAAATATATCACTAGTGATGGCCTTCGACCTAGTGCTGCAGTCTAGAAAGGAGAATCTGTAGGACTTCCTGGAATTCTTATCTAATAAGTCAGCTCTGCCTTTCTTTAAAATACTATAAAAAAACAAAACAAAACAAAAAAACCCCATAGAAGCCAGTAAGCAATTTTGCCTCAACAGAAGCATAAGGTCTTATACATGGAGGTTTTTTATACATTGTTGCCAGGACCATGGGTTAAGGTAAGATTTGTGAACCAGAAATAGACTTGGGACCTGTTATTTCTATTTGAAGTAAGGTAGGACAAGGTGAAATCAGGGAGAAGCAGACCTCTGGATAAATGCTGGGAATACATCTCAAAAAAGCAAAGGAAGACAAGAGAGTCCAGGTTACGCTTGGGTCTTCTTAACAGTCCTAAAGTTGAGCCTAGTTAAGGGGGATCTTTGTAGATGCCAGCTGAATTACAAACAGCCTAAAAAGAGATGAGATCTGCAGGAATTTCAAAATGCCTCTAAGGTAAGGTTTATAGTGAGAAATAGGAAAGAAAGAAGCAACACTGCAGAATAGGTAAGCAAAGAAATCAGGAAGAACTCAGGCCATGACCCCTACTCCTGTTCTCTGCAAGGGGGCTCAGTTCTATAGGCAGCACAGGACCCTCCATTCCCCTTGGAGGCCAAGCATTTATAGTTTATCTCTAAGGGAAGGCGGAAGGGCTTTTCAGTATGAAGACAGTAGTTTGCTGGGCAAAGAGACAGAAAGTATAAAAAAGTGGGGTAGCAGACAAGAAACCTACATGGCAGGAAGGACTTTTTTTTTTTTTAAGTATATGTATATAGTTCTCACTATTAACCTGAAAACGGACGCAGTATACTAGGTCTTCTAGATTTACCAAGAATGATCTTTGCAGGAAATCTCTGTTATCTAAAGATGAAAAGGAATGTGAACCAGCTCTGATCCTAATTCAGACCTTTGCCAACAGACAGTACAGGTGAAGGCCCTCTGGGATGGCCAGAAAGCAGAGTAGAGTGTATCACTCCAGAACAGTTCTCTTTCCCTTGGGATGAAACGAAAAGAAGAGAAGAATAAGCCCTAAAACACAATATGGTAAGTGGGGAAAAATACAGTATTAAAATTACTCGCAGAACGAACACCTTACAGGTTTAAATAAATTAGAATGATCTTAAGCTTGGTGAAAATAATATTTGAGTTTCAGAGAAGGTATAGAATTCTGGAAAGTATCTGAGTTTATGGTATCTATTACATAGATCCAGAAATGACAATGAGATGGTATAAGCATCCAATCATTCAAATAAATATTTGTGAGGGCTGGCATTAAATATTGAGGATATAATAGCGAGCAAAACGGAGTCCCTGAGCTCAAAGAACCTTTAGAACAGTGGAAGAAACAGACATTAATAGAAAAATGCTGGGATTTCCCTGGTGGTCCAGTGGCTAAGACTCCCGTGCTACCAGTGCAAGGGACCTGGGTTCGATCCCTGCTCAGGGAACTAGGTCCCACATGCTGCAAGACCTGGCAGAGCCAAATAAATAAATAATATTTTTTAAAAACAGAAAAATGTAATTATACACAATATTACAAATGGTGGTAAGTACTGTGAAATAAAGTACACAGGGTGCACTGAAAGTGTGTAACAGGGGAACGTGCTAATAGGCTGCCAGTGACAACCAGAGAATCTTTCATAACGAACACTTAAAAAAAAAACGATGCTAACACCCCCCTAGTAGGGAGGGAGAACAAGAATCCCCAGATAAAAAGGTAACCATTGTTCTCAGGAGAGGGAAAAGGTTATTAGCCTCATTCTCACAGTTTTTATCAGGTTTACATACACAAAAAGTATATTGCCCTTGGAGAAAATCACTACTATAAAGATGGGTGGAATACAGTAAATTGGCAGGAAATTGATGTTTTTGATCTTCAATATACTGAAGCAACAGGCCCTGAAGTTTGCTTGGTGGCTCAGAGCTGTGATCTGGATATGTTTGTAATTCCAGTAGACTCTGGCTGTTCAGACATGTGGCAGACGGCATTTTTAAAATCAGAGATAGCCACTTGTGATTTCCAGACTGTATATTGTATACACACTTACAGTGTCAACCTCTAGGTCAACCTCTCTCTTCACAGTTTCTAACACAATGGGATTCTTTTCTTCTTCTTTTTGCATTATGGTCTCAGACACACAATAAAACCTCACCAGCAATGTTATTCTGAAAGCTAAAACTTTACTATATTGCTAACAACAAGAGAGCCAAGAACAGAGAATTCTTAACCTGTATCACATCAGTGCCTACTGCATGGAAAACTGAATCACAACAAAATATTAAGAGAAACAGAATTTTTTTTTTTTTAACTGGAATGATTAAAATGAAATGCCTGAATTTCCATGGGCAGACTGACAAGACAGCTTATGATAATCAGAGATAATTAGCTGTGCTCCTCTGGGCTTCTAAACTCCTCAGAGTGGTGACGCTTTGAAAGCCTGGTTACTGATGCAAAGACCTGATGGGACTCTGAGGCCCAGCCTCTCTAAGCACACATTCTTTGACAAGGACTTGGATTCTTTATAAAAAGAATGTATTCCGAAATCAAATTGCCATAGATGGTACCAAGGGGATCTAAAATATCTGGTTAAGTCCCTTTGCACCCCTAATTTTTCAGGTTAACAAATTTTCAAAACAGAAGATATTCTGTTGTCAGGGACAAGCGGAACATACAAGCAGCAGCACCCTACAGTGAGCCAACTGCTTACTGAATGCCTGAAAACAAGACCATGTAAACAGTTCCCTGTTGCCTAGGCCTATAAAATCTGTACTAAGTGACAGATGCATAAAGTGGTGTGGGTGGCTGGGCAATGAGGCAACTAGTAGGAAGGAGCTGGCTGTACCTCCAGGTGTTAAAAAAGGCAAGACTTGCATATTCAGTGAGTCAATACTAAGTCAAGACTGTTTTCCATTTCCTTGACTCCCACAGCTGCCCTTTTATTACTTTTTCTCTTCAAGCCTGACCCAAAAGTTCATGTATATTCAAATTCTCCCATATAAAATGATAGAGAGGGAAACAGTATAGATACAGTTTGAGTTAAATGGCCAGTACCTATCAAACGACTGCTTAAAAATGGTTATGAAGGGGAGATAATTAATTAAAAAAAACTGGCAATCTCTAGAAGCTAAGCAATTTTATAGAGAAGTTTGCTATAATCTTCTGGGTAGGTATCACCAGCAAACGATGGTCATATAAGACTCCTAATAAATACTTGGTATTATTTACAACCACAAGTCCTTGTTGACAGAAGAAGGTTGAGAAGGTACAGGAAAGCCACATGTAGTACTTACCGTCTTCGGTTTCCTGCCACACGATGCCCTCGAGGTTGACACTTGTCCCAGGTTCGCAGGGGCCCAGACACTCAGGCTCTGTGGCCAGAGCCACATCACATGTATTGACCCCAACGGATCGGGTACGAACCATGATCTGCTCACAGGGGGATGAGATGTCATTATTGACCACGGGCACCAGAAGGTGCAGTGGCAGCACTGCTGGTGTGGAGACAGGGGACTCCATCTGTGGGGGAAGAGAAAGCAGTAGATGAGTTGCAAGAACATTTACAGGAAATATCTTCTCTGTATTTCATCTAGTCTTACATCCTCTCCTGCCAGAAAGCAGAGGGCTTTAAATACAAGACTTTAGTCCTTATTTTCAAGTTCTAGCTCATGATACCACTATAAATCTAAGTGGTTTAGATGAGTGCACCCTGGGCTAGAAGAAGCTCTATGTCTTATTAATGGCCCTCCTCATAAACTGTGCTTGGCTAAAAGTGTATTAAGAAAATTGTCTCTTTTAAAAATCTACTGAAAGAGAATCAGGGCCAGACCTCAACAGCAAGAGAAGAGAGCACACAGACTGATGAGAAAGAAAAGGCTCAGCTTCTGAGGCTTGTTCTACTGCTGCCCTCTGCACCTCTGCAGCCTGTCAACAAGTAATACATTAATCAGGTGTAAAATCCAAGAATACATATGGGGATAAAGAGAGGGAGAAATATCCAGATCCCAGGAATGCCACTCCAGTAAGACTGGAGCTTTAGTTCATCTTTGGGTAGAAGGAAACGTACTTAAAAGTCACAGGAGGGCTGATGGGGGTTTCTAACCCACAGAGATTATAATAGCGATAGGTTAATGACAGTGACATTTCAGAGTGTGAGTCTAACATCAAATGTGCAGAGAAGAAACAGGAGGTACTGTTACTACCCACAAGCCAATCCACAGCAGCCTGCACATGAAGCTGAATACACACACATACATAAGAATAGTAAAACACAAGAACCAGCAGTCTGGGACTTCCCTGGTGGTCCCCGTAGTTAAGAGTCTGCTTGCCAATGCAGGGAACATGGGTTCGATCCCTGGTCCTGGAAAATCCCACATGCTGTGGGGCAACTAAGCCTGTGTGCCCCAACTACTGAAACCTGGCACCCTAGAGCCCATGCTTTGCAACAAGAGAAGCTACTGCAACGGGAAGTTGGCGCACAACAACTAGAGAGTAACCCCTGCTCCCCGCAACTAGAGAAAGCCTGCATGTGGCAATGAAGACCCAGCATAGCCCCCGACCCCAAAAGAACCAGCAATCTCTACCACCAAAACTAGACCCTCTCACAAGAACACAATTTTACTTAGATTCCAAGAAGAAATTAACACATCTAGAGTTAAAAGTTGTAACAAAGAGCAATAATCCCTTAATTCTTTAAACCCTAGCATTTATCAGGTTGACAAAGTACCAATTCTGAGATAATAGTGCCTACATCCTAACTAAACAGTGTCTGGCACATGCAAAGGCACTCAGTACACACTGACTGATCCTTCCTAAAGATTATGTATGATACCAGTAAGAAGATCTAAAAAGGAGGAGTCAAGGATTGGAACACTCTTTCCCTTGTGAAAGACCAGGTTGACTATACTCCTTCAACAGGCCCACATTCACAGTGAGGCACCCATGTACCCATTATCAAAGCTGCTGCACAGTTCTGCGACAGGACTCTGGTCCTGAAATAGCTTACTGCATGACCACCACTCTACCTATAATCCATCTCCCTCATTTAAACACAAACATGCACACACAAACATCTTCCTGGCCTCAAACACTACCCTGGAAACCAAAGTCTGGGTATTGAATCCATTCTCTATAAGTAGCTCTGACTTCTTGGCTTAAAAATCAAGTGATATTTGCAGATCATCTCTATCAGAGTCCACAGAATGCTAAAACACTGGTTCTGATTAATTCTGGTCCCTGAATAGCTGCCAAAACATTATCCTTATCTGTTTGTGGTTATACACATCCACCCCGTACTTTCTAACTCCACCCTTTTCATTAAATGAAAGTAGAAGCCTGTGCAGTGAATCTTCTGCATAATGATAAATGCCAAGAGGCATTTTTGGTCTTTTGTACTCCTGAAAATCAGGCATTTATAATTCAATTTGACAACCTTCTTGGGATGTGTTAGATCCCTGAAAAACTCTTTAAAAAAATGTCTAAGTACAGATTTGAAGGTAAGAACAACAGAAAAAATAAACTGGATTTCCTACTACTCCTGTGTAGTGCTAGACTCTGGGTCTAATCATTAAGCCCTCTCAGGAATGCTTTTAGACAGTGGTTCATTAACTCTTTGGAAAGAAAGTTTCCTAGAGATTTCACCCATGAGAATTATCAGATAGGGAAATTAGAGAGTATTCAGATCATCTTTACTCTTGGCCTCGCCTCTGTTTCTCTGGTCTTCAGAGTTAGTTAATATGTGCATTTCCTTTGCTTAGAATCTGTCCCCTTTTCTATACCTTTCTTCTACTAGCAAGAGAAACTCCTGCAAAGTCCTCTTTCTTGAACAAAGAAATTGGCCTAAACCTTCTAGGTCACTCCTGTGAACTCTCTGACTGCCTGGCTTGAGCAAGACCTATTGCCAACATGTCCCATCGCTGAGGCAGCAATCCAAATCAGAGCAGGAAGGAAGTCCCCAGGGAGTCACCTACACACTCTCTGCCATCAAGGGCAGCTCTTTTCTAGAAGTGGTTTCATTTCCTGTTAATTTATTCAGTACTGCTGGGAGGCCAGGAAAAAGATAAGCCACTGACATTCTGGACAAAGCTAAGCTCCCAATTCTATACTGACGGATTCAGAAAACAGCTAAGATGTAAGCACAAAACACCACTGTTGTATTCAGGCAGCTTGTTAAATTAAACCCTAAACATCTGAAGAGAAGAAACTTAGCTGAACTGATCACTAAGAATAACAGAATTAACACATGAGGAGCTGATTAATGTGTGTGTGCATGTCAAACTACTCCTACTAATCGAAGTTATTAGTAAGTTACTAAGTAGAGCTCAGCATCTGTTTGTGTGAGGATGACTTTACTTAACTATTTGATTAGTTAAATGGGATTTTGGGGAATGAGGAGAAGGGAGAAAATGCACCTTCAGATTTGGAACTACTGTTCAATTTCCTTCTACTTTGCAACAGAAATCTAAGGAGAAATCACAGAGCAGCACAATAATGTTTAATTACAGCTCTAGCTCTGCTAATTACTGTTTGGTCACATCTATAATCTACATTAAGCCATAGTGCATAATAAGCAGCTCGGTGATATTCATCTAATAAGCTAGGTGATTTTGTGGGATTTCAAATTCTACTATTCACTGGAACAAACACAGCTTCATTTATCACTCTGCAGGAGAGGATGAAAATCAAAAAAGGACTCATTTTGCCATCTTTCCTGTATACCTAGGATGCAAAAAGCAGGGACTGTCAAAAGACTGATGCCAGCAGGGAAAACAGGGATAAAAATAGGAAAAGTTAGGGTCACTGAATACCTTCACAACTATGACAACAATAAAAGCTGGCCAACTCTCAGATTCTGAAATGCTAAGAAGTGCCACCGTGGCTCCAGGGGCTCACTGAAATGGGAAGGTAAACAATACAACAAAAGAGAAACCTGAAAAGAGACAGAAAACTTAAAGATGGAGATCTCTGAAGTTTCCTAATATTTCATGTCCTTTATCTTTTAATGATACTTCTTTCTAATTCACCTTTAGATATTAGCCTAATAGCACCTATTAGGGATCTGAGTGCTGATAGGCAGGTGACACAGAAATGAGGACTGGGAAAATAAAGAAAGGCCAGAGCCATTAATCTCCCTGCAAGAAGTGATTATATACTGACTTCAGCTGCCTCCCACACTTGAGAGGCACTAATGGAGGAAAAGGCTGCAACATAATTTCAGGGGTAGAAAATGAAGTGAAGAGGTATTTGGGACAGACTCTCTCCTTCACAAATATGAGTCTGATAACATTACCTTCACATTCAAAAGGCAGAAAGGAAGCTGGTTCTACTGATAACTTCAGTAGCTCTAAGAAACTCCCTTTTATCCAAGAAAGAAAGATTACTGGGGATGATGGTTAGATGAATGTTCAGATTAATCAGAAAAGATTGTGCAGAAAGTAAAATGTCATCAAGTATACTAAATATTATATTAATAAGATCCCTGGAGTAGGAAATGGCAACCTACTTCAGTATTCTTGACTGGAAAATTCAATGGACAGAGGAGCCTGGTAGGCTACAGTCCATGGGGTTGCAAAAAATTGGACACAATTCAGCACACATGCACACACAATTAATAAGAAGCCCTCTTTCTTCAATAATTCCCAAAGTTCTTCAAGATTTTATAGTGAATCAGCATTAGTAATACTAACAGTAATGTATGTTCTTGATTCATGGACAAATATAAGTACTCACCCTGATACAGTATAGCAAACTTGATTTGCTCACAAGGCCATCTTGGTGGCTCAGATGGTAAAGGATCTGCCTGTAATGCTGGAGTCTTGGGTTCAATCCCTGGGTCGGGAAGATCCCCTGGAGAAGGGAATGGCTACCCACTCCAGTATTCTTCCTGGAGAATTCCATAGACAGAGGAGCCTGGCAGGCTATAGTCCAAGGGTCACAAAGAGTAGGGCATGACTGAGTGACTAACATACATTATAAAAAACCAGGTAATTTTAAAAATCCTATTTATCAGTTTATTATGTTATTTATATTTCCCTAAAGTTTAATATTAATCAGAAGGACTGATACTGAAGCTGAAGATCCAATACTTTTCTGGCCACCTGATGCAAAGAGCCGACTCATTGGAAAAGACTCTGATGCTGGGAAAGATGGAGGGCAGCAGAAGGGTACGACAGAGGATGAGATGGTTGGATGGCATCACTGAATCAATGGACATGAGTTTAAGCAAACTCCTGGAGATAGTGAAGGACAGGGGAGACTGGCGTGCTGCAGTTCATGGGGCCACGAAGAGTCGGACATGACTTGGTGACTGAACAACAACAAATTAAAACACAGGGGGAGAATTCTCAAATTATTTGAATTGCCTTCTATTGATTGGCAATCTGAGATAAAATAAGTTCACTGTATTTTTTTTTTTTTTAATTTAGGGCTGGAATTTCGCTGATGGCCCAGTGGATAAGAATCCTTCTGCCAAAGCAGGGGACATGGGTTTGATCCCTGGTCCAGGAAGATTCCAAATGCAG